CACCAAACTGCTGAGATCTGCTTTTTCAGGCTGTCAGTGAGGGCAACGCTAATCAACATCTTGTGGTAATGAGTGATGTTGAGCATAAATCTTTTCTCATGAGATTGGCTGTGTTGTTGCTGTTGGCTCAGTTGCCTTGGAAATAAGTGTCTTGCTGTAGGCAGCAGGCTGCGGTCGGTGTGTGCTTTCCCTCAAATCCTTATTTTATTTAAAGTCAACTCCAACCTCGAAACTGGGCATGCTTTCTGTCACTTCCTTTTGTTTAAACACATTTCGCTGCCTTGTTGACTTTCACAGGTCTGTAAGCTCAGCACTGTCACAGAGCGCCGTCTTCAGCTCTCTTTCGTTTGGTGAGTTTGAAGAGGGGGGGGAGGCAGGCAGTGAGGTCACCTCATACTTGACCATCCCTCTCACCGCTCCTTGGTCTCTATTTGTTCTCTCTAATCATAGACACTGGGACTCCTGGAGTGTTGGCTGAAAACCTATAAAGTGCCACCAGTCTCCTTTCTAAGCACACAGTGTGGCACCGTGTTCATGATCTGCATCCAATCAGCACATGTGGAAAGAACCCAGCATGTGTTTGCCCTGATAAGACTGCAACAGGATGGAGCGCTGACATCACAAGATGGTCACGGGGGATTATGGGACTGTAGTAGTATGCAGACCATAACTTGTTGTGGCTCTTCACAAACATATAATGATATGTATCAGCAGGGGTGACAAAGAGTGGCAGCTGCCACCCCTGAAATATGCCTGGTCACCGTAGCTACCACCCCAGTTTGGTGTCAAATGCTGTCAAATTGAAAACTCCAGTGGGTACCATTCAGGAGGCTCTATTGTCAGGAATGGAATATAATATTCATAGGTATGTTTTCATTAGTGTATAATCACCTGAAAATAAGAATTGTGTTTTCGTTACCTTACAGTGATGCTGCTTTTATGTACAGAGGGAGTGGGTCCTCTTCTATGTAGTACGCCATGTTGAACCGCTATGTTTCTACAGTAGCCCAGAATGGACAAACCCAACACTGGCTCTAGACAGGGCCTTTCGCATTTCACAGCCACCCTAGTTTATCTTACATGCTTGGAAGGCTGAGCTATATTCAAAAGGTTGCAACCTGACCACTAGAAGCCACTAATCCTACACAGTTTGGCAATTAATGTAATGATCTGTTATGGACACATTTAAGACCAAGCGATAAGCTGAAGCTATATGAAAAAAAGACACCTTTAGATATTTCTATTCAATTATTTACTAATGTGCCAATATAATGTAATGTTTCTGAGTTCAAATATCTTCATTTGGGGGCTTTTCCAAACAAATATTGACATGTATAATTGTTTCTCCATGCCACCCTCTGGCCACCACATGAATATTTCTCTAGATCTGCCCCTGTGTATCATCAGTGTAGAGACATACATTATTTCCATTTGATCAAAATAAAGTGACGCCTTCACTTCCTCACAGCACGGGGAAAAAAGACATTTTACTGTCCTGTTCTTATTCGCTAATGTGACATCCAGTTTGCTGTCTACCATTTGCCTGAATCCATGTGAATGCAGCATAAGAATGAGAAAGACAGCTTTGACACTGACAAAGCAGTGAACACCTTGTCCAACAGCTCAAAGTGGAATGTTTAAAAATAGCTCTGCAAATGAGATGTTTGATGAGAGTGGCAGTCACTCATGATATATTGATAAAAGCAATAGTAAGGAACATAGGTTTTTTTTTTGTTGTTGCAGGAAATGACCTTTAAAGCAACTTAAAGGTCTTAGTTTATTAGTTATTAGTTTATAATAATCTGAATATAAGACATGTTGTGTTTTTGTTACCTTAGAATGAGCTGTTTAATGTACAGAGGGAGTGGGTCCTCTTCTACTGAGTCCGCCATGTTGAACCGCTATGTTTCTACAGTAGCCCAGAATGGACAAACCAAACACTGGCTCCTAGATAGGACAGGGGTCAGCAACCTTTACTATCAAAAGAGCCAAATCTGTCTGGAGCCGCAAAACATATTTGAGCCTTATAATGCTAATTTCTCACTGCAGATCAAACATACTGGTAAGCTCGCAGTGTTGGCTGTGAAATCAAACAAATCTATTCAATTCTATATTTTCCTCTGAGAGTCGAAGCCACCGTTATTGAGGTTTGGCAAAATAAAGAGAAAAGGGCGCCTGGGCAGGACGTATTGTTATGCTCATTTTAGTTGATGAAATGTTAACTGGTTACTCATTTTTACAACTGGAGAATGTAACAGCAATGACAAAAATTTTAAAAGTAACCTTTATTTGTTTCCACATAATTTTTTACTCAAAGCCGCAGGGTGCCACTTAGGGTGGCCATTTCCTTCACATCAAAAAGGAGGACAAATTTGAATATGTTTTTCCACCAGATTACATAAAGGTGCATACACATACCACATAGCTAATAATAAATATACAAGATACAGCTCATGACAACGTGCCCCTCCAATTCAGATTACATAGGTCTAATAAACATCATACAGAAACTGTTCTTAATGTTTTTATCTGGATAGATAAAGGGTAAACAAAATACAGCACCTTCTGTTTCAGATGTATAGACTTTGCCTATACATATGAGTATGAGCATTGTCAGAATTTCAGTCCAACTACCGACATTAGCTCACGTTATGTTCTCTGTTGCTGAGAGCTTGATTGACAGCCTGGTGGTAGCAAGGCGAGTGCCTGTTGTGGCGAATCAACACATGGCTCACTTGAATATTAAAATTAGCCATGTGTTGAAGGTCAGGACACGAAAATGTAACCAATGAAATTACTTATTTTGACACACATTTTTAGCCAATAAGTATTAAACTTACTAAGGAAATGTGTCAAAAGGCGGACCTTTTTAGTTATTTTCTTAAAAGGAGGACAAATGAGTATTTAAAAGCCGGACTGTCCGGCCTAAAGCCGGACGAATGGCCACCCTAGTGCCACTGGAGAGGGGCTAAAGAGCCACATACAGCTCTGAACCCAAAGGGTGTCTACCTCTGAGATGGGGCCCAGATTTTTGCAGCCACAGTTGTTTCTCCTACACACTTGGGACAGGAGGGTGAGGCGAGGGTGTTGCAATCAGCAACTTTACTTAGATGCCACTAAATCCTACACTCTTGTCCTTTAAAATAATGACAGCTTTTGCAAATTTTTGCAATGGCAGTCATTTTTAACTTTTTCAGGGTAGTTTTATATCTGCAATAAAATGCACTGCTGCCTCTGGTGAATCCCTTGTAATAAGTTCTTAATTAATGTTGATGATGTAGCTCTTAAGTGCTATTCAATACATTTCTTTCAGAAGCAGCCAATAAGAAATGAAGTCATGAACACAGCATGGAGGAGACGAAGCAGGAGCGCTAAGCACTCCGTGAAAAGCACTCCCGACATTCAGCACTCAATTTCCCATTTAGGCAAAGTCACAATCAGCAAAAACTGTGTCTTGGCTTGCAGTCAACGAAGAAACGGACTGATGCATTTAATAAATGAAGAAACATTCACTGAAACCGGCCATGAATCATTACCTTAAGCCCTTTCAGCCCACAGTTTTCATCTTTAATTTGCCCTCCCTCCCCCACCTCGTGGCCCAGATCACTGAGGAACTCACTAAAAGCATTGTTCCTCCTGCCAGCTCACTTGGCATATCTAGTTTTATTTAGAACCCTCTGGCTGTTTGGCAGGAGGGGGGAATAAGCGGTGTTAAAGGTATTTATGAGGTTGTCCTCAAAGAACCTTTCTTTATATCAACAGTTTGACTAATGCATGTGACAGTAAACTTGACGTTGGCAGCAGCTATGAAGAAGTTGTCTGTATGACTGATGCTGGTTGTGATATCTGCCAAGCCAACATGTATTAATTATAGTAGCTTTTAAACAGACTGTTTTCATGAAAGACAATGTTTGGGAACTACCTAAATGGCCGCGGCTGTTGATGATTACAATTGCCCAAAAGGGAAGTCAAAATCCATATTCTTAATATGGTTTACATGAATCAGCAGCAAGTGTAATTAAAGAAAGTCTCAAATGGGAGCAGGACTAAAAGCGGAGGGGTGACCTTTTGGACCTGGTCTGGGACACATACTACATTCTTGCAGTGTCCTGGCTTTGAATCCTATAGGTGGTCTTTGTTGCTTCCCTTTTTCAAAAAGGATAAAAACATCTCAGTATTTCATCAAGGTTGAAACATGATGATGTTCTCTGCCACTGTACTCTGCTGCAGTTGGTTCCCTCAATGTTCATGTCATTAAAACAGTGTGAAACATAATAGCATCCATTTTGGAATTCAATCTGCTGTGAAAATTCTAAATATTTTAATTTAGAGATTTCCAACCATCAAAAACTCATAGCCAGTGATGACATGGCAAAAATTCAACTTGAAACTCAAATTGTAACTCACTTTGAAGCTTGGCATGCATACCAAATTTCATGCTAAAGTTGAGAGCATACCACTTCCACAGTGCCCTGTGTAGTCAGACCTGTCTGCTTGGATGTCTACCTCACTATGAAAATTGCTTCGGCTGTCAAAACCTCACTCTCTTCATTCACTTAGTGACTTCTGTCTACTGAGATAATGTCTGACTGGCAACTAAAAATAACAGAATAAAGGAAAATACACTCATTAAAGCCTTGGGATGAAAATCAACCTGTGGCTTTAAAGCTGCAGTAGGTAACTTTTATAAGAAATAAATAGCTGAAATTTTCACTGTGTCCTGGCAGTAGCACATCAAACAGATAGTCCGTGAAAAATATATGATTCCTCCTAGTGCTCCTAATAGAATTTGTAAGAATCCACCAGGCCTGAACGAAAACAACCAATCAGAGCCAAGCAAGATATAAAGATGCTTTTGGTTGCAGGCTTGAAGATAACTGATTGTTGAGTCTCATTCCCATTGTCCCAAAGCGTCTGTATTTGACGCCACCTGATTATCTGTCTCGTGTACTACTGTCAGAATATAGCTTAAGCAAATATGACCTAAAATGATTTTCATAAAAATGACCCACTGCTGCTTTAACCTTGAAAATGGCAGACATGGAGAAAGGAGGTGAGGATATTTGTTAAGAATGACTTCGTTTATATAGGCCTCAAAATGTCAGAAACAATTTACCAGGTTTGACGACGGATAGGCCTATTTCTTTATTTTATTTGGAGCATTTGGCCGTCAAACACCCGTTTCCCTGCAGTTACAGCAGGTGTTATATCGCCGGACCTCTCCCCGCTATGCCTCAGCCCGGGCTTGCCTCAGACTGACTCCTGCTTCACTACAGGAAGTTTATAGCGATTTTAACCGCCTTTCCCTTCATTTTCTTACGTATGACAAGCCTGTCAGTAGTTAATGTATCTCGGGCTGCTTCATTTACGCTACATTTAACTGTTATGTATATTACAGTAGTGTGTATATGATATATGTAATAGCTAATTTTCGTTAATTTAGGCTACCTCATTTGGTTCTGAGCTAGCTTAGTTATATTAGTTGGTATAGTGTTGTTGTTATTGTTAGCTGGCTCGTTATCCAGGACAATAACAGACACAGAGTTGTCTCATTTAGTTAAAATAATGCAACAACAATATGGGACGTATAGAAAAAGGGTGTGAACAAGTCTAAGTTGGATGTCAGTGTCAGTAATGTATTAGTCTACACAGTGCATCAGGTGCAAATGAGTTAACGTTACTGGTAACAAGCTGCGGGCTGTGCTGCACATTGTTTTACATTTTGTACAGAAACACGCCTGTTGCCAGGAACATTGCTGCCTCAGCCAGCAGAATGTGGGACCCTTCTCCTCCCTCACTGGAGCTGACATCCCGCTGAAACAACAGAGGAAACCGGAGGGTGAGTGCAGTCAAACAGCCGCTGGCAACTCAACCTGATTTTCATCAGAGCTTTTCGATTCAGCCGTCCTTCATTTGTCTGCCCTCCCCTGCTTTAGTTTGAGGCTTTCGGTGGATTCCTCCTCACTGACAGAAGGATTTTAGTTTTTGTTGATGCAGGGGCTTCTTCTTCTCCTGCTGATGAAATTTGTCATATAAAGGCTCTGTTTTATAATTATCTCAATTTCTCTTGAGGCTATTGGTTTCTTTAATTTATTGAATGGCAGAATGGAGACTTTTGGTTGTAGGCTACAACTCAGAGACGCTAGAAAGCAGTGTTTTCTTCTGTTTGTTTTTCTTTTCGCTTTTCCATCTTTGTCTAGGGTTCTTTCTATATTGGTTATTCAAACTCTGACCGGTTGTTTTAACTATATAAGATACATTCCCTGGTGTTTTCGGCCATTAACAGAGCACCAAATACACAATAAAATAACATTAGGCTTGACTCAGCTTTTTAAGTTTATCTCAGTAGCTACTGGGCAAATAAGACTTCAATGTAAAGCATAAACATATGAATAAGAACACATTTATCCTTGCAATGCTTGCTGATATCAGCTGAGCATCTTGATTTGTCAGCCTTATTCAAACTCTGACTGTTTTAACTGTGTAAGATACATTCCCTGAGCTCCAAACACACGCAATAGTATTGCATGCCCGTAGAGTTTTCTCCAGTGTGTGTTTGTGTTTTGCGCCAGGTGTTCTCAGTCATTTTCATGTCATGTGGTATCGCTGCTTCCTGGGCCAAAGAAATCCATGTGATAATATTTCACTATGTAAATACACAGAGTGATGAGAGCAAAACTTCAGCTTGTAGAAGTTCCTGTCATACACGTTTTACTGTGAGTGACCTCTAGTTTTTAATTTTGATTCAATATAATGTTGTATTCCATTTGTAATAATAGATTCTCCTAAATGTTACACACTGGACCTTTAATACATTCAGAAGGGCTGTATTAACATATTAACACTAACAAGTTAGTGCTTGTCTGTGTCTGTGAGGGAGTCTAGTCTCCATGGTACTCTGTCTCTTTGTGTCTAGACACTCCTTTTTGAGTGTAGCCTTGATGTACATGTAGTATTAAAACATGCAATTTTCCCATACAGAGGAGGAAGGCTATCAAAGGTTTAAATATCTGTAATCTGCTGTGAAATCTAACAGTGTTGGCGTCACACATTGACAGTCAAGTAAACAGATGCCGTGAGACCCTTCCTGTCCATTTTAGCACAGGAAGTATGTTCCACATAAAAAGATAATGATAAAAAATAAAAATCTGCCTTCCTTTCGCTTGAAAATAAGCACATAACTTATCTTCTAACACACTGAATCCCAATAAGCATAAATGCAGAATATCTTAAATTTCTGGCAAATTCCCATCCTGCTAATGTAAGATCACATATGTTGAATTATTAGCCCAAATTCCTCCCAAAACATAAGCACCTACAAGCATGTAAACAGTACTGAAGCTGTTTATTGCTGTTTTTATAACAGATGTAAAAATGTCTCCATCAGGAGGAGAACATACACTGATTTACACTGATACTCAAATTCTGAATCCTCACTGTCTGACTTCTACTCACCAATAACTGAACAGGCATCTCTTTTTAAAACCTGTGGAGGGCAGCAGCAGGCTTGAGATGCATCTAGGCTGCTTGTAGTGTTAAAAGAAGAATAAGAGCAGGAAGACGAACAGCAACACATCAGCCCATTTATATGAACCAAAGCTGAGAACCTGATAGCACACTCTCAAGTTCAGCCCCTACTGAGCAGTCCTTTTAAAGTCATATTCACCCTTTTCAGGTTATAGGGCTGAAGCAGAGCCATCATAAGCTGACTCAACAGTACAAGCATTTTTAGTTTAACTGTGATGGAACTGCATGTAGTTACTTTAAAGTGTCATGCATAATACTGAACTTACTACTGATACGTTTATTGGGGGTAAAAGTTGTGCGTACAACTCCCAACCCAGTACAGCCCATAAACCCTTTGTCCTACTATACCTTTAAATAGTTTTCACTGTCTCATGTGGTCATTTACATCAAATTTAAATTATGAATGATGCTGTAGCCTATATTGTAGGTACTCTAAAAGGGCATGTTTGTACAGAGGCTGATAAGAAAGACTTGTTTCTGTTTAGTCTTTTTTCATATTTTGTATCATTATATCAATATGTGGAAGTATTTAATTTCAAAGGCTGCCAAATTTCAAATCTGTCAACATTAGGCTAAACTGTAAAGCTAAAGCCTTTTAAGTTTATACCAATAGCTACTGGGAAAATAGTAATAATAGAAATTAGAGACAGTTTTGCAGTTTAAAGCTTAAACATACAAAGAAGACCACATTTTTCCTTGCAGTATTATCAGCTGAGCATTTTAATTTGTCACTACAAGAAAAGCACAGCTGTAGCTCATAACACTAATGTTTCCATTCTATCTGAGTGTCCCAATAAGACATGCATATATTCAAACACATTCGAGACTGTACTGATCCGTCCACGTTCAAATCACAAATCACTAACTTTTCAAAACTGCTTTTAATGTGTGATTAATTGTTGTGTGTTTTATTTTTTTTTCAAACTACAGTATGTATTTTAACATATGTGAAGTGTTTTTGAGTACCATAAAAAGTAAAAATGTATAATTTTTTTCCACAGGTATTTTGACATGTTACAGTAGGAAAAGCACAGGTGTGAATAATTCCATTTAGCTGCTTCAGTTTCACAATCCTGGTATTCTGCTTGCTTGGCTCATTTTCACACTGTCATGGCTTACTGGGACACTTGAATAGAACAGAGCCATCGTCCGTCCTCTGTAGTAGAAGGAGGTATGATCTATAGCCCAACAGATGTTGGATTTCTAAGGCCAATACTGATACCAATATTTGCGAGTTTAAAAAAATCTTCCAAACATAAATGCATAACATAAATAACAATCTCAATATAGATCCCGTATTTGTTTTTACAAATAATTGGGACCAAGAAATCTTGTTTTATATATATATATATATTTACCTCCAAATTACCTCAAACCTAGTTTGGCCTTTCTGTACTACAAATTCTTGTTACTTATCAGCCAACATGCACCTATACCGATATATCTGCAATCAGCTCATTTTAGCAGGTATGTTGGCCTTGGCCAATTTTGATCACAATATCCCAGTTAAAATCCCAGATTGTGTTCCCACATTATTTATTTTCTAAAAAAAACTGAAAAGGGAAGACACCTGTAGCATACACCTTTTCCTAGCAATGCAGTTACAGTAAAATAGACCTGGTGTTGATCATTAGTATGATAATGTTTATCTGTGAAGATACTAAAGTGATGAAAGAAATTGCATGAACTGTACTGTTATGGTCAGTGGCCACAGAATTTTTGTTTTTTAAGCGGGACAAATGGTTTGCTCACATTGGTTGTGAGCCAAGTTGTGTAATAATTACATGCTGAAAAGTCAGGAACTAAATACTGAAGGTGTGAAGGGCTTGATGAATCCCTGACTGTTTGTGTTTCACTTTCAAGGGAGTCAGTATCTTTCATTAATGATAAGAGTTTTTTCCATTAGATTTTCAGTAAGAACATTTGCACTGAAACCAGCAAACATACTGTATTTCTGAAGAAGTTTCCATCTCCAAACATTCCAAAGCCTTTTACCAGAAAAGAATGGAGAGCTTTGTTCTTGTTTAATATAGGTATGATAATCTGACCATGCATTCAGTGTCTATGGTTCATGGCTGTCAGTTTGGGTTATAGGTGAATAGAAGTGGCTGTCAGCAGAACAATGCTGGAAAAAGATGTGCCTTTTATGAATTAAATAACCCAGAGGAAGCAGCTAAAGTCAGGACAGAATGAGGCCCAATATGGAGCCCTGAGGTATTCCACTCTTCCCTTGTACCAACTGAGAGTACAAACATGGTTTCTAACTGAATTTGTAAAGGCAAATCTAGGACATTCAGCAAATTGGATATGTGATCCAGAATATCCCAATTCATCTTTATTGGTCAAGAATGCATTAACTACCATTAGATATCAATGATCTCATAAGAGTGGGTATTTCTGTGCTTTATAAATAATGTATTCCTTAGACTTCTTAGAACTTTTGCAGTGTGTTTATTATCCGTTGTTAACGCTGTAAATAATCAGAATACTACTTTTAATTTATTGACATTGCAAAGACTTAAGAGTGGTGATGATCGCAGACTAGCTTGGCCATTATGACTAAAGGGGTCACCCAATATATATAACAAGCCTAGTGTTTTTAGACATTTTAATGTGGAAATGTTACATATTATAGCTTTAAAATCAATTACTTTTGAGATTTTGAAATCTCAAGATAACTAAGTATTAATTTATTGACAAGTAGACCTCTGTGACCAATATCTATTTTAATTCCTTTTATCTACATTTTTAAGTTTCATTATTGCCCTCGGAGGGGTAAAAAAACCTGAAAATACATTTGTCTTGTTTATTTTTACAAGCTCCAAATCAACAAATGTATCAAATTTAAAGATATGAGGCAGATACTCATTTCAAATGATTGTGTTTTGTATTTTTAAAATAATAAAAATACATATTTAAACAGTTCTTTTCAATCTTCCATCGCTGAAACAACATCTTTCTCGCTGTGTTATGCAAGATTAATTAAAAAATGCAAATATATGGGACCTGACCGTTATGTAAGCATCTGAGTGTCCAATTGGGCAAGGTATCTCCTTTTATGTGGGGTCTATAACCTCATTAATCCTCACATGATATAAGCACAGCTGGGCCATGGAAGTGGATGCATAATGTATATTATTGCTTTAACAGGATCTTCCTGTCAGGACTGCCATGGTTGCTGCGGCAGAAATATGAACTAGCTGGTAAGTGATTTAGTATTTTGGTTTCCTTTATACTGTTACATTATTGTGCAGTTGTATTTGAGAGGGTTTTAAAATAGAAAATTATATTTGCATTTCACCCTTGCTAAAGAAAAAGGCATCATATTCATGGCCATTTTCATCTATATTTCATATATTGGTAAAAGAAAACTGTCATATCAGACTGTAATGTTTTTACCTCAGTATAACTGTTAGTGAACATGTCTTTGCTGAAAGGTATGTACTGATGGAGAGTTTGTGTGTGTGTGTGTGAAGCAGGGAGTGAGAGAAAGACAGACGGAGACAGAGAGAGTGAGGGCAGGAGGGACCGTATTGGCCGGGACACTTGAATGAATTTGAAGAATAGGTTTTTACATGCAGAACAGCCACAATACTGGGCCCTGACTGGCAGACGGTACCAGCTTCTCCCATTCAAATGACGCAAACCTGCCTGATTGGAGGATTTTAAAAAATGTGTTTTAGAATAGTGTCCAAACAAAACCGAGTCCAGTTGTTTAACTTTCACTGCCACTGATCTGAAATCTGAAAAAAAACATGGCTAAATGCTAGGAATCTCTAACTTTCTTCTAATTCTAATTCTTCTAACTCATCTTCTGACTTTGTCTGACAGTAATTCCTTAAATGGACCCCATTCAAATTCTTAGGCATTTCTTCTGTTCATTTATAGCAGTGTTTTAATTATCTATAAAGAATTCAAAATCACGAAATATAGATTCAAATAACATTCCTCAACAAGGCAACACTGTGAATGTAATAAATGAGTATAATTGGACAGGCTTCTATAATGTGAAAAGTACTGCAAACCGCCTCTAAGGCTCTAGTATTATGACAACTTCTTCAGATTAACTCAATTAAATGTGATTTAGCAAACCACACAAAAATGAAAAACCTAAAAGCATTAAAAAAAACAGGAAACAAATGTCAAAAGTGAAGAATAAGGCTCAGTAATGTAATCTTCTTTCTACATATAAAACAGCTTAATGCAATTACTCTTGCGGAGGGAAGGCAGCTATTGTGTGCATGTAACACCAGTGAGTTTTACAGTGGTTGTGACTTACTACAGTGGTGTAAATGTCTGACAGTATTATCTCTGTCAAGTGGCTGTCCGGGTACGGTTATGTGATCTCGTGAGGCGAAGCTGGCCCCACAAATTTAAGCATACACAGACACAACTAAAGCTTCCAGCCCCTCCCGCACACACACACACACACATACACACACACACACTGTGTTTGACCTGGGGGTCAAGGTGCAGTGACTCTGAGGGTTGTCTAACTGGGCCTCTTAAAAGTCTTGCCTTGCATTCCAGCGCCTGGAGGAGGGGGTTGTTGCAGCCAGGCTTATTACCGGCGAGAGAGAGAAAGAGTGATAGAGAGTGAGAGAAAAGAGAGAGAGAGAGAGAGCGAGAGAGAGGGAGGGAGAAGTGGGGGTAGAAAGAAGCTGGAAGGTATTATGCACTATTTCCTTGGCTTCCTAGAAGCTCCCGCTTATTCCCTCCCACTTGCGACACAGTAAAGGAAACGCTGAAAACTTGAACCTGCTACTCTCCAGCTGCCTCGGCCTTCTAACTAGCTCACTTGTTTTCTTTCACTGCTGCTCCCTCTGTATGTTTCTCTCTCTCTCTCTCTCTCTCTCTCTCTCTCTCTCTCTCTCTCTCTGTCTTCCTCCCTCCCTCGCCCTCTCCCTATGTGTCTGTCTTTCTCTCTCTCTTTCTCTGGGCTGTGTGTAAGAGGATCTTACTTTGTGTCCGTTGCCTTTTTCCGCGGTGCTGCAGACACACATGAAGGAGAGGATTGGATTTGAGGAGATACTGACGGGGGTGCACAGCTGCAACAGTCCCCTCCATCTCCACACCAGGACTAATCCCCCCCCCCTCTCTCTCTCTCTCCCTCCCTGTGTGTTTGACTCTCCCTCTGTCGCACTCTCTCTGCTTTCTGCCTCTCGGAGGGGTGGGGGGTGCCATATGGGAGCTCAGAAAAATGGAAGTGGAGCGGAGATAGACAAGAGAGGAATCTGTCATTCTCGGGCTCGGATGTCGGGGATCTATGTGGTAAGTGCTTCTCTCTTTCTCTTTAAGCACTTTTAAGAAGTTCTGTACCCCCCCAAGAATCTCCTTATTCCTGAATTTTCAGCATGTTTGATTCCTCATTGCTTTTGATTCATATGTTGCCAACATTTACCTATTTTTGAGTTTTTATTGTTGGACTATTATTGTTTGAGCCAAAAACCGAGCCTGATTTTCTTCCACTTCACTTCAATGTGTCCAAGTTCATGTTTCATTGTTACAAGTAATTTGTGAGCCTTAGTGATAAGAGGGGCTTTGTGCTCGTACCAAGTTTTGAGGGTCAAGGTAGAGCGAGAAGGGAGGTGGAGTGGAGGCTGACTGGGGGAAGGGAATTTGGAGGGGTCAAAGAGAATGGCACTTGGCCCAGGCAACACAATGGCTCTGAAAACTTTTTTAGTATGACATTGTCACTGCGAAACATGCGCCTGCCTCAAAATCTAAAACCTGCTGCATGTTTCAGCTGGCAGGTTTGTTGTCGAGGCCGTTTATTTAGCTGATGAAATTGATCAGTTGCTCACTTTTTCATGAGCTTGGGATTTTTAAGTCTTGGTTGAGTGCAGTTTTGAGACAATGGGGATCAAAGTTTTGACACACTCACCATCTGACAAAACTGTTAGGCATTTTTTATGTGCCATTATATATTCTAAACTAATTTATTTTACAGAAATTATTAATAAATCAGACAGAAACTTAAGATTTCAAGTTCATAGTGTCTATTGTAGCAATGTTACAGATTACATCGGCCCAGGATACAATGTTCCATGTATCCAGGTTTTGTGGATAGTGTTGTTGAAAGAGTTCGTGTTGCAGATTATCAGCAGTTGGTTCACCTCCGTAGAATAGAATCTACCAGGCCATGGTAGATGTTGCTCCCAGTGCAAACTAATGCATTACTGCAGGCTGACTGAATAACTCCATTATGTGATAAATGGAAGTGATACCTCTGGAGCACTGGACTTACATATAGCTTTTAAAACTGCACTTTGACATTTGTTTCTGTTTGATTTATTGTGTGGTGTGCTACCGTATTTCAGGCAGATTTCATTGTTTGTAATGAGAATTTTTTGCAAGTAACATTCCCCATGATTTTTTTTCATCACATAATTAGTATTAATATAGAATTAATAATGCTACGTAAGACCTTTTTAACTATTATGTTTTTGACTACTTTTGTACACAGAGATCAATGCCTGAGATAAAACAGGGCAATATAAAACGTGTTCATTATCAGTCTAATCTCCTATCAAACTTGTCCTTTTCCTGAATCTCACAAAACAGAATTTTCTAAAATTCAAATACACATCTTTTCAACAAACTGCAATTTTGCAAGTTAGTGGTATTAACTCTGAGAAACTATGGATAGTCTTTTCACTTATTTTCACCCTAATAGTGTGTGTGAGTCTGGGAAAACAAGCTGAGTTGAGTGAGTGAACTCCTTTTAGAAAGCTATTGAACTTGAGGACGGTGATTTATGTGTCTCACCTTGATGGTTCATTGGCATTTTCACCTCCCTCCCCCGTCTCTTTGAGGAAATCAGAACCCGTCTCTCTGGCTGACTCATTCTATGCCTCCCTCGCTCCCTCCGTTCATTAGACATCTCAGTAACATGGGAATGAATTGTCTTGACCGGGCACCTCTGAAAGGTGGTATTTTTTATTATTAAAAAATTGAGTTTGTTTGTGTCTGCATGAATTTATTTTTAGTCTACTCTGTGCAGCATAATGTCTGTTAAACTTATTGTATGCTGGGAAGCTTTGCTGGATTTCAGACACTACTACTACTCTTTTATAAATACACACAAACTGTGTCTGTTGCAGAATCTAGTTCTCTATTTTGGGCATGTGGGTCACAATGAAATGAAGCAGCACTGGACACCTTAATGAGGACTCATGAAGTTACTGTCAAAAAGTTGCATTCTTGGCTCACATGGCTTCTGTTTCAGCTTCAATCATGTACTATGACAAAATGTAGAAACCTCAATTGCCTGCTCAGCACAAGGAAGTAGAAAATGAATTTGATAATAATAAAGTTATCTTTGATAAGATAACGTTCTTGTTGATCCAGTGCTTCAAATTGTTTCTCTCATCTGCAACACTTGAACAAAATCTAATTTAAAGATTTTAAATGAACTCAGGAACATGTTTGTTTAGATGTGACATGACTTTGATCAGGGAAAAGAAGCTGAACTGAAGAGTTTTTAATTCAAAACACTTTGTTTGCCCCCTCAAGGGGCAGTTTGAGGTAATTGTGTAGGTTTTTGGATCACTGGAATTTGCTGTTGTATATTGTAGGGCTGCATTATAATGCTGTTTTGTCACACATTTTACCTTTATCAAAAAAATTGTAGCTTCTTTGATTTGGGTATTGCACCTAACCATATTGCGATTTTTGATAATATTTCGATTAACTGTGCACCCCTAGTATATTGTTTATATATATTTCAGCTACATTTCTCCAAATCTTAAAGCAAAATTTTTAAGTAATAACACACAATAACAAACACATTTTAGGTGAGTTAAAATGTTTCGGAATTCATAGGAGTACAGGTGCTAAAAGAAGAAAGGCTCCAGTGTTTTGTGGGTTACTATTCAGGACCTTGATTTGGTACAGTTCATTCTCCTACCAAGGAGCCTGGATTATTTAAATCTGGATGGTATTTTATTTGTGCTGTCAGTTAAACACGTTATTAACGGCGTTAACACAAACCCATTTTAACGGCGTCAATTTTTTTATCGTCTTTTAACGTTTGTTTAACTTTGTAGTTTTTTTCACATGCTGTTGCAACAACTAGTAACGTTAGAAAAACTACAACACGGATCTAGCTAGACCGGAAACAAAACAACAGGCACGCCGCACACACTTGTTTAAGAGTAGTAGACGTTACTTTTTGAGTGGATGGCGAGCGTGAGACGCCAAAATGGAGGCCAATTATATTCTGAATGGAAAGTTTACTTTTAAAAAGTTGCCAAATGGTTCCATTGACAAGACCAAAGTGATCTGTGTGTTTTGTCATTGTGAACTGAGCTATCATCGCAGCACGTCCAGTCTGAAATACCACTTGATGGCCAAGCACACAGCTGATGCGAATTCTCTGCCCCCTCGTCAAAGCCAGGCGACAATGGATGATTTTTCAATAAAAACAAAATTTGCACAAAGCAAGCCGATCCACTTTTCCATGTTGATAAGAGCATTCAAATGAGAAAAAAATAATGGGACAAAAAGAAATCAAGGGACATTTAGAATAGATAAAATTGTGCGATTAATTGCGAGTTAACTATGACATTAATGTGATTAATCACGATTAAATATTTTAATGGTTTGACAGCACTATATTTAATGTATTAATAGTGCTCATCTGGTGTATGTCTATAGATGATTTTAGTTGTTTGTTATCCATTCTGCCAGGTGAAGACATGTCGTCAGATAACCTGCCTGACCTCCTCAGCCAATTTTAGCCTTTTCCTCATGCCTACTCTGGTTATAAATTAGCCCGCTTGTTTGCAAGCAGTGAAAGGAAAAGCTCACTTAGTAGAAGTGATTTATTAGTTGTTAGCCTGCTGCTGCCATATGAATGACAGAGGTGCCATTCAGGATGAAAACAGAAACTCAGAAAGCAGGCAGGATCTGACTGCCTCAGGAAATAGGAGGTGGTTTCCTTTTCTGCCACTCAACCAAAAGAGAATTTGCATGATTTACCTTTTAGTATTTCTTCCAAATAAATCTTTAGTCGTTCAGAGAGCATGTTAATAGTTCCACATAATTTTTACCATGACTTTAATGGGATATACATCCGTACCACTCCCTACTCCACATGAGTTGTTAATAGTTAACATGCATAAGGATCTGTGAAGGCCTACAGGGAGACAGGAAGTCAAATTTAAGCACTTTTGTGTTGATTCATTAACAGATACATTTAACACAACCTCTGTTACATACTTGCAATTGGCAGTCCATTTGCGGTTGCCCCCCAAAAAAGCCTGTTTTATTTTTCCACAGTTGCTCGCCTTGTGGCTCTTTCTTTAAAGACACTGCTTTGTATCTGGTTCACTCTCTGACTTTTGCATGCAAAATCAAACCACTGAGAGAAACCAGGCTATGTGGTGTCTGTTGTACATGTTGAGAGTCATTTGAAAGATCGATGAGTAATCCATCTCTGTAAATCGAGTTGTGCTTACTCCGATTACGACCTTAATGCAAGTAAGATAACTTTGTTAAGATGTTTGTACGACAGTTGCAATAATCTCAGTATTGCCTTACTCGGGTTGTGATCAAATTACTAAAGTGCATGTAAAAGCAATGAGTGACAACCCTGTTTGCCTCTCCTGTTCTGTCCACAACACTTTATGTCACACACCTAAGAATTCAGGCAGAAAACCCCAGTTTTTACCTCTTGAACAAGAAATATTTTGAAGAGCGAACCTCAGTGGTCCATCACTAAATTCTATTTGGGAGGTTATTTCTGCAGTGAATGTGAAGAAAATGTGTTAATTATACACCTCAGTTTCTCTCTGACAGTAGACCAATGGCAGACACAAGTTGCACTCTTGAGACTGGACGAAGAAATATGCCTCTAGAGTTTTGCTGACTAATGTGGGCACACAGTGAGTGACTGCAAATCCATGCTGTTCCAGGAAGCAATATGATGACATGATGTGAGTAGTTATGAGAATAACTGCTCCAACAATGCAGCTGTTCATGCAGCCTAAGGAGTTCATAACCCTGGAGGCCAAGAAAACAGGAGACTGTTTGACTGACTACATCTTGTCCCAGCACCCTTGTCAGCCCTTGTTGAGACAGACAGGGACAGAGAATGACGTGCACAATCATTATGTCCTTAGAAAGACCTCCTCAGGTTGTTCATCAAGCTTGGATAGTTGCTCCTTGATTACCCTCACAATATCCTGCACAAAGCTGTGTTCCCAACATGCTCCTCTATATGATTATCCTCAAGCAGCAGGTCCTTCCAAACTTTATTCAAATGGATG